AAGCCGGTGATTCACTTGCGTTCAACCAGATCCCTACAAGTAGGATGCAGCGTTTCGAGGGCTCGAACGTGCGCTGCAAGTAGATTTTCACGGCTCTTCAGGCTTATGCGCGACAGTATGGTGTCGTCGTCATGAAGGTATGTGGTCAAGCACGACAGAGAACGATAAGGATCTCGTTGGTGACAGAGATGTGGTCGAGGAAAAGAATCAATCTGATGTCATCAGCGTGTTGAGAGGGTAGAACTCATTCGTACACTTTCTCTCCGCCATATTCTCGCGCAGAATTAAGGAGATCTATAAGGACGTGTTCAACGGACCGCTCTGCTTTTTCATCGGTGGGCACTAACTAAACATAAAAGCTTTGAAGACATTCCCGCGATCAAGTGTTAAGTGTAGTATTTCTTGAGCACAAGTCGGCTGACAACTGGCGGCAGTATCCGGAAACGAGGAATGCCCGTGGCTGCTGTGAAGGCCGCTCACTTCGATGATATCAGCAAGAAGCTGGAGACGCGCGACGGTGAGCGGTACCTGTACGGACTTGCCAAATCTCGTCATCGCCAAACCGAAGACATGAGCATAAGTGATGAGAATGGCCACCTTCTGATGGACCGAAAAAGGGTATTGCAACGATGGCGTGAATACTTCGAGGGCATCTGGAATCGCCCATCCCGCTATACCCTGTACCGCACCAACATATGGTCCCGTTCAGAAGATCACCGTACAGGAAACAGAAGCTGCTCTGAGGAAGATGAAGGCCGGCAAAGTAACAGGCCCCGACGACATAGCAGCTGATTTGTGGAAGTCAACGCTGGTTTTCTGCGGGTTGGTTGACGAAACTCTTCAACCAGATCGTCGAAGAGAAGAAGGTGCCCAAGGACTGGCAGCAGAGCGTGACGATCCCGATTTGGAAGAAGAAGGGCAGCCCGGCAGATTGCTCGAACTACCGTCCAATTCGCCTTCTCTCGCACACTATGAAAATCTTTGAGTGAATTGTTGCCGCCCGTTCCGTGATATCGTTCAGCTTTCCAGTAATCAGTGTGGCTTCGTTGCGGGTTGTAGAACCGTCGACGCCATAGATGCCGCTCGCCTATTCCTGGAGAAACACCGTGAGAAGCGAAAGCCCGTGCAGG